TCAGAGAGGTATAACTTCCTGTTTATGTTTGTCAGAGAGGTATAACTTCCTGTTTATGTTTGTCAGAGAGGTATAACTTCCTGTTTATGTTTGTCAGAGAGGTATAACTTCCTGGGTATCAGCATCGTTGGTCAGAGTAATGACAGAGGAGATGGAGGTATTTATATTGGATCCATCATGAAGGGCGGAGCTGTCGCAGCAGACGGACGTATTGAACCAGGAGACATGTTACTGCAGGTAACGTTTGAAAAAATTTTAGAATTACTGACTTACTTTTTGGGATTACTGGTAGTTCTTCATCTTTCGTCCTGTATGAAAATTAGAACTTGGGAAACACACCTGAGTAAAAACGTCCAATTATACCTGGGAGGTGTGGCCACCTCCTCTACTTGGAGGTTACTAAGTTCTGCTTTGAACCATTGTGTGCGTTACAAGGAGTAATCAGTCATCTTAGAACTAAAGTTCAGACTGACTGGATCCTCTGAAGCACTGAGGACTGGTTCTAGATCTGGGTTATAGGAACAGGACTTAAAGTGGTCCTGGTTTTTGTGTCCACCAGGTGAACGATATCAACTTTGAGAACATGAGTAACGATGATGCTGTCCGTGTTCTGAGGGAGATCGTCCACCAGCCAGGGTGAGACATTTCATACTTCTTTACATGTTCTCTGGAGGTCCTGATAATCCCTGTCAGACCTTTATGGTTCTGGATTTGATGAGTCTTTATTAGCTGTTTCCCTCCCTGTTTTTAGTCCGGTGACRTTAACTGTGGCAAAGTGTTGGGATCCAAACCCACGAGGCTGCTTCACGCTGCCAAGAAGTGAGTCATCGGGGTTTGGGTTGTTACCAAAAATAATCTTGTTCACCTAGGTCCATAAAAAATATTGGTCCTCTAAACTTCAACAGGTGAGCCAGTCCGTCCCATCGACCCTGCTGCGTGGGTGTCTCACACCGCTGCCATGACTGGGAGGCTCCCCCCACACTACAGTACGTTTCCAAACAGCAGGTACCCTAACTATCATCATCCATCATCATTAAATCACTGCTGCTTCCAGGTGTACACGAAGAAAACCAGCTGAACATCCACAGCGACATGACGCTAGTCGTCAAGGCTATGGCCAATCCAGAGTCCGGCCTGGAGGTCCGAGACAGGATGTGGCTAAAGATCACCATTCATAATGCTTTTATTGGTGAGAATATCCTTAGTCTGGATCCAGGTCCAAATTCTATAATCCAGATCCATCAAAAACTCTTCTTAAAAGGGTTTTTGTGTCTTTATTATTGTGTGGTGAAGAATCCTTTCAAYGGATACGTCAAACTCATAAAAACTGGTCTCTTCTATTGTTTCAGGCTCAGATGTGGTGGACTGGCTCCACCGAAACCTGGAGGGTTTCACTGACCGCCGTGAAGCCCGTAAGTACGCCGGTAACCTGTTGAAAGCCGGATTCATTCGACACACCGTCAACAAGGTCACCTTTTCTGAGCAGTGTTACTACGTCTTCGGAGACCTTTGTGGAGGTAAGACCAGGAAAGACCAACAAGCACTGAGGTCCACACAAAAACCAGGGTCTCAACTGTATAACTACCAGAGTTTATAGAACTACCAAAGTCTGTTGAACTACCAGAGTCTACTCAAAACCAAAGTCCACATAGCTACCAGAGTCTGTAGAACTACCAGAGTCCACACAAAAACCAAGGTCCACATAGTTACCAGAGTCTATAGAACTACCAGAGTCCACACAAAAACCA